TTTTTTTTGTTTTTTAATTGTTGTGTAATTGAATGGATTATGCTGATGAACGATTATGAAATTTTGGATTCTTGCGTTTTATTTTGAATTTGATCGCTTGAGATTTGATATTGTTATGTAATTGTGTTCTTGGGGATTTTGCTCTAAAAGATTTTTGAGAACTTGAAGAAAAATTACTTAGCTTGTAATTGGTCAGCTCAACTTTGCTAAACCTTTCAATTAATGGATAATAGTGCTTCAAATTAGTTGAATCATTATTCAAGAGTTTGAAAGCTTGAACCTAACTCAATCTTTATAAAGAGAAATGGATCATTAATACATGTCTAATAAATGTTTTCAGTCATTATATACAAACTAAACTGTTCAACAAATTTGCTCTTATATTTTTAAAATTAAAAATAACATGTCTCAATTGGTTGTCATACCAATTTTGTTTAAAAAAAAAACATCATGACCTGGTCGGATTAGTATTTGGATTCATTTGGTCACTTGGGTTTTATTCATCACCTTGTTTTTTTTTTTGGCTTGGATGATCCACAACTTAGCTATGTCGTGGGTTGACCCGTGGATCCTATTCGAGTTTTTCAAATAATTGCCATTGGAACAAAACACGATGTTGAAAATTAGACACGGCCACACGCGGTCCTGGCTTGTGATCCTGGACTCGGCCTGCAACTGGTCCGTTGGTTGCCGGTTTCGAGAACTGTCATCGTGGCTTTACGGGTCGTTTATGAGTCCGATTTTTCTATTTTTGATCCTGATGGGCCGGGACCTGGTCGGACTGGGTTGGGACCGGACCGGGACATGGCTGGTTCACAGGCCTGGCCCTTGGTTTTTGGCAGGCCAGTTAAGGGTCACCCATGAGAGGCTCGTCGGCCTGGGTTGTGGCCCGACCTTTGACTGGCCATCTCTAGTTGAAATTAAATTCTCATTGGTGCGTTCGAGATATCTTTTCTACTATTTGTGGATCGAATAATTTTATTTATTTTAAGTACCACAAGTGCGTGCGAAAATTGAATGCATGAGCGTTGTACCTATTTTCAAAGCCAAATCCACCCCCAATCTTCATCCACATAAATTCCACGTCACAAAATCTCAGCAAAATAAATTGCAAGGCCCCAATTTATATTTATATTTCCGATTGGGCCAGCCAACAACCTTACGGCATGAAAAGACGACCACTTTCTTCAGCCTTCAGACGAGAAATGAATTAACTAAACCCCAAAAAAAAAAAAAAAAAAAATGGAGCCGCGCATTTTAGCGGTCAATAAACCTCCTCCGACCCTCTATGCGATACCCAGAGGATTTCAGAACCGCCGCATTAGCTGCGGTCGTCGCCGCGTCTTCACACCGGCCGCCTGCCGCCGCTCCTCCACAGAGTCCGGCGGTGAGGCGTCCCGACCCAGGCGGCGAGATGTTCTCATCACTCCCTTCCTCGCCGCCGCAGCTCATTACGCTCTCCGGTCGTCTGCGGCGGCGAAGGCCGATGAGAATCTGGCTCCGGAATTAGGGGAACAAGCAGGAGATCCGCCGCTGCCGGAGGAGGAAGAGGAGATAAGCTCGAGGATATACGACGCGACAGCAATCGGGGAGCCGCTGGCCCTGGGGAAGGAGAATCGGAAGAAAGTGTGGGAGAAGATGATGTGCGCGCGGGTTGTGTACCTTGGAGAGGCCGAGCAGGTTCCGGTTCGAGACGATAAGGAGCTAGAGCTTGAGATCGTGAGGAATTTGAGGAGGAGATGCGCGGAAGCTGACCGGCCAATTGCTTTGGCTCTGGAAGCTTTTCCCTGCGATTTGCAGGGGCAGCTCGATCAGTTGATGGATAAGAGGTTCGATTTCCCATTCTTTATTTTTATTTTATTTTATTTTTTTTCTGTAAAGTATTGACTGTTAGTAGATGTGAATATCAACAGCACCATTTTGTTGAGCTGAACTAAATTGTAAATTGCGGTCGGTACCGTCTTGTTGATTTGCAATTTGCGTCGATATGGTTTGTTCGGCAAATGATAACTGTGTAGATTTGTTCCAACTGAAATAAGTTTCTTGGCTTGAATAGTTGTGACCTGTGACTGGCAGGATTGATTTTGGGGCCTTAAAATCCCGCGTAACACATTGGTCGCCCCAGCTTTGGCAAGAATACGAGCCTCTACTGACTTTCTGCCTTGATAATCGGGTTCGCTTGATTGCCTGTGGTGTGCCACTTGAGGTACTAATTGTTTCTGATTTATATATGTTTAAAAAATGCTTTTCTTTTACTTGATACGTTTGGTTGTTCTGGAGTTGAATAGGTATTACGAACAGTTCAATCAGAAGGAGTCCGTGGGCTTTCTAAAGCCGATCGTTCGGAATTCGCTCCTCCAGCTGGCTCGGGTTTCATCTCAGGCTTCCCTTCCATTTCCAAACGATCCTCTCTAGTGAAAAACTTATCCAGCCAATCAGCTCCTTATGGCCCCAGGTCGTACCTTTCTGTTCAAGCCAGAGCTGTCGAGGACTACACGATGTCCCAGATAATCTCGCGAGCCGTGACAGATGGTGGGCCCACTGGAATGCTAGTGGTGGTGACAGGTGCCAGCCACGTGGCATACGGGTCGAGGGGAACCGGGCTGCCAGCTAGGATTTCGAGAAAATCGCCGAAGAAGAATCAAGTGGTTGTGCTGCTCGACCCGGAAAGGCAGTACATACGGAGAGAGGGTGAAATCCCCATGGCGGATTTCTTGTGGTATTCTGCCGCCAGGACTTGCAGCAGAAATTGCTTTGATCGAGCTGAAATTGCTCGGGTTATGAATGCAGCTGGAAGGAGGAGGGATGCTTTGCCCCAGGTTAGTTCCTAATGGATACCTGCTTCAGAACTCAGGCATTTTCTTTCGAGATCCGATTTTCTTCAAATATATGTCTCTAACTTTGAAAGATATTTTTACTCAGGACCTACAAAATGGTTTAGATCTTGGCCTTGTATCGCCAGAGGTTCTCCAAAATCTTTTCGATCTGGAGCGATATCCTATTATCTCAGAATTGACGAGTCATTTCCAGGTAAGCTATATAATCAACTTGATCTCCTCTGCTAGCAAAAAAAATCATTTGTCTTTGACCATATTCCTTTTTTACATACTCAGGGATTCAGGGAGAGGCTATTAGCTGATCCGAAATTTCTTAACCGACTAGCCATAGAAGAATCCATCTCAATAACTACCACCCTCCTCGCACAGTACGAAAGGCGAAAGGAGAATTTTTTCGAAGAACTCGATTATGTCATAACGGATACAGTGAGGGCAACAATCGTCGATTTTTTCACTGTCTGGCTTCCGGCCCCAACATTATCTTTCCTCAACTATGATGATAATATTAATACCTCAGCTAATGGCATGAATGCATTAAAGGGCCTTCTTGGGTCCATTCCGGACAATGCTTTCCAGAAAAATATTGGCGGGAAGGACTGGAATTTGAGTCAAAGGGTTGCCTCGGTGATTGTTGGTGGTCTTAAGCTGGCTGGTGTCGGATTTATTTCGAGCGTTGGTGCAGTGGGCTCGAGCAATTTGCTGTATGCCATCCGGAAGCTTCTCAACCCGACGTTTGGTAGCGGGCAGCTGAATAAACGGTCCCCTGTACTGAAAACAGCAGTCGTGTATTCGTCTTTTCTTGGGTTTTCGGCTAACCTGCGTTATCAGGTTAGCAACAAGCTTTTTGTTGATGATTTTTCTTTTGTTATTTTTATTATTATTATTATTATTTTTTTTTTTAAATTCTAGTTATGAACTTATGATTATCTTTCACTTATGATTAGTATGGCATCTGTGATAGCGAACAATTATCTCATAGTTTGTCACTCCTTGAGTAAATAATGAGAATAATTAGTGTTTTTTTTTTTCACCCCTCTCACAGATCATTGCAGGAATAGTGGAGCATAGGCTTTCAGATAAGTTCTCTGATCAGCCATTGATCGTAAATATGATATCATTCGTGGCTCGAACGATAAACTCTTACTGGGGAAACCAGGTCAGAAGCCATGGGCCTTTCAAACCCGTTTAAATTTTGCTTTTCCTTTTTAAAGATTTCGATGATTGTCTGTAGTGCCTCGGTCAAATTGATTTCGACGAATTCCTGTGTTTTCTTGTTATTTTCTTCTGTTTATCTTATATCCTGAATAGTATGAAGGATCTGACATCAGTTTTCTTTTTTTCTTATTTTCTTGAAATGGAAAATCGGCAGCAATGGATCGATCTGGCAAGATATACAGGAGTACAGTCTCGTAAAAATGAAGAAGTTAGCTTTCAAACTCAAGATCCTTCAACTGCTGCCGCATTAGAATGCAATGGCGTAAAAGATAATGACATTGATGAGACGAACAAGAACAAGACAGTGTGATATTAAGTATTCCCTCTTCTTTTTCTTGTTTAAATAGTCTTTTGAACAATTCAGGTTCTCCAAAGTTTTGACAGTGACAGAGCTTACTGTATAGTCCGGAAGATCGAAAACACAACACTATCGAGCAATGTATTACGTCATTTTTTATCACTCAATAAATCCAATATGATTTTTTGCTATTCTGAGGGCTTGCACTTATTAACACTTAACAGTTGTTTTTTAGCGTCCCACACTACTGCAAAATAGGGCTGCTATAGAACCGAATCGAGCTTAAGGAATTCAAGCTTGACTTCGACTAATTTTCGAACATGCTCGTGTTCGTTCGTTTAGTAATCGAAAAAATAAATAAAATTGTTCGTGCTCGAACGAGCACTGTTCAACCAGTTCGAACGAGCACTGTTCGACCAGTTCGTGTTTGTCGGACTTTTTTTTTTTTCATTTTAACGCCATACAAATTTTATTTAATATTTAATATATATTCATATAATATCGTATACCCATATACTATATATAATATATAAAATGGCAAAATACTTCTTTTGATCGAGAACACTCGATTAGTTCGTTCGATGGCTAAATGAACATAATTCTATGTTCGAGTTCGGATCGATTACTAAACGAACGAGTTATTATCGAACACGAAGAGCTTTATTAGCAAACAGTTCGGGTCGATAACACCCTTAGGTCCCTACCTTACTGCAGAAGATACTTTTATCCAAATAATACTATAAGATCCTACATGTAAACTGGAACGGTATTTCCCAAAACCCAACACTCTGCAATGAACCCATTTATAACTCCAGAATCTTATCAATGAATCCCAGTCACAGATCCAACTCAACACACACATTACCATCCTTACAGTACATCAATCCTTCATTTCAATTGTCCTTTTTCCTTCCTTTTCTCCCAAAAGAAATTTCCTAACTCACTTAGTATACTCTGTTTCCATATTCCCCACAACACACAGGAAATCACACTGAGGAAAAAAGAAAAAAATAAAAACAAAAAATAAACAACGTCAAACCGCGATCAGATTGCTTTCACGTTCTGGTGCTGCACGACCATCACCGAGACCGGCGTGCTGAGGTCAGCCGCCGCCAGCATATCCCCCACCGGTCCAAGCTCCGGCAAATCGTTCCACTCGCTCAGCCCCAACAACTGCGGCATATCATCTTTATGCCTCCTCCCGACCATAATCAGGTCAAACTCCTCCTCCATCGCGTGCACGAGCAGCGCAGTCTCTGCCCCGTCCCTCACCCTCTCCTCTTTATAAACAATATTCTCCTGGTGGGCCCCTTGCAGCCTCGTGTCCTTCAATATCTCGGCATCGAGCACCGCATCCCACTGACTATCCCCCGCAAAAATATCCCATGCGACGAACCTCACCACAGTCAGCTGCACTCCAGCCGAGAGCGCCATCCTCCGCGCGTACGCCAACGCCTCCCTATCGTCCGCCCCTCCGTAAAATGCCACCCCAACTCGATAATCGGACGACTGTCCCCTCCGTATCTTGTGCCGGTCGACTAGTATGCCAACCGAGCATGGAGCCATGTTGAGCACGTCACAGTTAATTGCCCGTAAACTGCTACTATCGAGTATCATTTTCCCTTGGTGATTCCATTTGCGGTGAAAGGGGAGAAGGATTAAAGAAGCGAGTTTGTTGAAGGCTACGGTGCAAATATCGTGGTGCATGAATTTCGGGAGCGACATGGCGGTGAACTGCTGGACCGCGATCGAGTGGCGTTCGAGGGATGAGATGATCTCGATCATTTTTTGGGTGCGGGACCCGCCGGAAGATTTCTGGCCGAGCTGGTGGTCAATAAGCTGGGGGTGGGCTCGACCGGCGAGCTCGACGAGGTGGAGGGCGTAGATGGCGAGGGGGCTCTCTTTCCCCGGGTAGGAGGATTCGACGAGGACGCGAGCCGCCAGGGTGTCATCGGCTCGGTGGCCACACACGAGGAGACGGAGCTCGGAGGTCGGTGGAGTGTGCTGGACGTCGCGTTTTTGGTAGCCCGTGTACATGCGCGAGTAGTCGTACATGGATTTTACCGCCAGGTTGGCGCCAGCAGCTTGGAGGAGAACGGACATCGTGAGCATCGAGAAGGTCTCCCCATCGAAAGTCTGCACGAGCAAGCAACACCCAGAGAAAAAATAAAATAAAATCACGATTTTTTTTTTTTTATATTATTATGCTTGGTGAAATATAAATTGTTGCATTAATCTACTACATTCAGGTTCCACAACTTTTCTGCTATGTTTGGTAAACCCAACTTAATAGCTAGCTTATAATTTTTAAGTAAATTTCGAGCTTATAGCTGACATACCTTATATACCTTATATGATAAATATAAAAGATAAAAGTGTTTGGTAAAATTAGTTGGTAAGCAAAATGATACAAAAAATTCAACTGGCTTATTTGAAAAGCTACCTAATGAAGCTTATGAGATAAGTTCAAATTTTTTTAAAAAAGCTCGTCCTACCAAACCAAACTTATTTGAATACAGGAAGCTTATAAGCTAGTTTATAAGACTTTTGTCTCGCAATTTGCCAAACCAAAAGGGGGTTTTGTAATATCTCGGAAAACTGAAAGGTCTCATTTTAATAAGATTGACAGCATCGCTCAACTATCGTTCGGGACGAAATGTAAGTGGAAGTAAACCTAATGAGTCATTCTCATCATTTTCAAAAGTAGATAAGTTTTTTTCGGAGAAAACACAAGACTTGGTGTTGCTTGTAAATATCCTTAAATGGAATCTTTGAACACTTCATATTTGGAGATAGAGAGACAGTAGTAATCCATAGTAATAGTTAAACATATCACCTGATTTATAGCATTATAGTAATAAAAGGACATCTGGACCACTCCTTGCGCGCTCATGCAGAAGGAGAGGGCAATGGCATCCTTAACTGGCACCTTGCACACATACGCCGTGACGAAAATCGCAGCCAACTTCATCACGAAACATATAATAAGAACAAGCCACACCACGGCTATGAACTTCAGATCATACAGCTCGACCAAATTCACGTTCATCCCGCAATACGTCACCAGTAACGGCGCCAGCAGTCCCGAAATCAGAGTCTCCAGCCTGTCCTCGAGCGTGGCCCCCAATGGAGGCCCGTCCGGTACAGCCAGGCCCAGTAAAAATGGGCCGTACTGGTAATTAAGGCCCACATTATCCGTGAGCAAGACCACAATCAAGACCAGAAGGGCCATCAGCATGATGTGGAATCGGCTGACGGGCTTTCCTTCCGGAGTCTTCTGAATGATCCACAGACAAATCGGACGGGCCACGAACAAGATGAACACAACGAGACAAAAGGTGAGAAAGGACGAATGCGTAATTAACACGCCCGCGTAGCCCATTAACCCTATTCGCCCGTACGAGATGATTGTGGACGTTAAATTGCTGACCAAATCACTTATGAGGGCCGATGCAAGGGCTAGACGGCCCAGCTCAGTGTTCATGATTTTCAGGTCGACGAGCATTGAGGCTATAACAGGGAATGGGAATAAGTTCTGAATGGTGACGATTGTTTTGTAAGCTGGCCATCTGTACCTGTGTATATTCGTCTGGTTCAGTATGCTGAGGATTAAGCCACCGCTGACTGGGACTGTGACAGAGAGGACGCCTATAGTCCAGGCCTTGATACCGGTCCTCAGGACGATTCTTGGGTCCATTTTCACGCCGCTGAGGAATATAAAGAAAATGTAGCCGATTTTGGATAGTAAGTCCAAGTAGACATCTCCTTCTTGTGAGAACAGTGCAGATTGAATGTCTGGCATCTGGCCGAGGATAGTTGGCCCGAGTATGATTCCAGCCTGGTTGAATGAAAAACAACAACGATTAAGTTTCACGTATCAGAACATATAAATATCCGCTGCCCCCAATGAATTATTTACTTCATCCAAAAAAAATAAAAAAAGAGAAGAGCGATTCAAGCTTTTCGTCGAACACATCAAATGCACCCGGACCAGAACAGAAACCCTTCACGACGAAAGGGATAAAAATCGAAAACTCATCAACTTCATCACTACATGAAAACCCTCCATCCAACAAATAAGTTCCAACCAAACATAAAAGGAAGCAAGAAACTTACCAGGATTTCGGAAACAATACGAGGCAGATGGAATCGCCGGAGCAAGAGATGAATGCCCTGCGTGAGCGCGAAAATGACGGCCAATTGGAGCTGCAGCCGGGGCAGGGCGTAATTCAGGAATTTCCCGGCGTCTGTGGAGCCCCAGACGCCGGGGGAATGCAGACCGACGGAGACGTAGCAGAAATCGTTGGTGACATTTCCGGGAAGCGCCGGCTGATCATCCATCGGCGCAAATAAAAAAGAAAAAATTGGGAAAAAAATTAAAAATTACACCTTCAACCCGGGTCGAGCCCGTCTACCGATGTTGGATCATCAACGGGGGCCCGATTGAACGGGTGGAAATGAAAATGTATGGGATTTTCATCGGCCATTCTTTGGAGAGAGAGGTTTATATGGGTTCCTTTTTTAATGGTGGAATAAAGGTTTATTCATGGGGCGATCATGGAATGGACGGCGTGATGCTGGTTTTGCCGCCGATAAATATTGGCAGCCATCAATAGCTCGGAGATGAACTTGTTTTCCAACTGTCGAAAGTGGGAGTGTATATTACTTGTTCATTTGTCATACATAAAAACTAGTGTGTGAGGTAAATTAAATAATAATTATGAATTAATGAGTGAGTAATCAGTATTAAATAATAATTATAAATTATAAATTAAATATGAAATCATCTTGTCTATGATAATATAACAGATGTATGTTTAAAATATTAAAAATACCTAAAATATTATATAACATATATAAGATTATGTAAAATGTTATATGTTATTCTTAAAATATTTGAATTCACTTAAATTTTTTCTAATCTACTTTGTAACCAAAACATGTCTAAGGCATTTAAATTTTATATATATATTTCAATCAATAGAATGTGTAAAATATTTACCCGAAAGAAAAAAAAACATGTTTAAAAGTATATAAAATATTAGTAATTACAAATTACTCCAACAGAGGATTTCATATTCGAAACCACGATAGTTTAAACAAAATAAGTCAAAATTTTGAAAATGTGTGATTTATAAAACACATGTCAAATTGAACAGAATCCTTCATTACAGGATTTGAAATGCACACAATTTGACATACACTATATGTTGAAATCGATATTTGAAAGTTTGAGTGAACAAGTAGTTGGAAAATCCGTTCAAAATGATGGGAAAAATCGTTCCAAATTTTTTTAAAAATCGTTATATTTATAAAACGTGTGCCTTGGTATTTTTTAATTTTGAAATGCATACAATTGGACAAAATTCTTAATTTAACGAATGGTTGGCAAATCCACCCAAAATGATTGGAAAAAATCGGTCAAAATTTTTAAAAAATATTCACAGCCGCAATTTTTGAATTTGAATTTAACAATACCCAATTTTGATAAGAGCATTAAAAAATTCCCGAATTAGCAAACATTTAAATTTTCCCGAAATTTTTACTCACTACTTTTGGTAGATAATTATTCTTTATATATATATATATATATATATATTATATTTCCAAAAGTTGATGATAAGTTATATTTAAATTGTAAAATCTATGTGAGTATTAATTTTAAAATTTGTGTACTGTTGAAAAGAAAATACTGCCAATATAACTATGTGTTTATCTCGAAGGATTGATGATGTAGGGAAGCGTACGAATGAGAAGGATAAAACGAGATACTCTCTCGATAAAACACAAAACTCAAATATCAGAAATCTTCTTCAAATTCAACCAACTGATTGCGGTAGAGATGAGATAAATATATAGAGTCCTACTTATCTTGCCTAACAAGCTAGGATAGATATTTATTTACTTACCAACCATAATAAAATAACTAAGGTAATAAAATAAAAGGAACAATACTAATAGAAAATAAATAATCTAAATACGAAGCCTATCATATTTATTTAGAAACGAAATCGCGGTCTCGTCTCCATCATCCTCCCCCGATTGAGAAGGATTCGGCCGCGAATCCGAACCGGTCTCGTCTCCGTCAAAGTCAAAGCAACGCAAAGGGGCCAAATGCGATACGTGAAAAACATCCGACGAAGGCACATGAGAAGGTAAGTGGAGGCGGAAGTTATCCGGTGAGAGTCTATCGACGAGCTCGTAGGGGCCGATCCAACCATCCGACGCGGATTCAGCCCACACAAAATCTCCCACCTCAAAAACCAATGATCGATCATCCAACGACCCACAGAACTCCACACAAGGCCCGGAGCGAGAAAGGAATAATGCTGAAGACCCTCGTGACAAAGAGAACCCACGGGGAGCCGACGGGTGTAAAACAATGCGGACGCCCTCATGTAAAAACTCATAGGTGTTAAGCCGGTCATCGTGAAGCACAGACCTATCAAACTGCCAAGGACGGCCCAATAAGAGATGCCAATCATCCATAGGCATTACATCACACCAAATCTCGTCCGTATAGGCGGAACCGACTGAAAAAGACACCAACACGCGACTGTCGACATTGACAGCATTAGCCCGTTGTATCCACGCAAGAGAGTAAGGATGTGGATGTGACTCTGTCAACAACCCAAGCTTTGCTACTGCTTCCTTGGAGATCACATTGTCGTTGGCACCTGAATCAATCACAAAACGACACACACGGCCACCAATGGTGCACGTGGGCTCAAACAGCTGATGTCGTAAGCTCTCAATCTCGGGAGATAAGTGGGGCGACAAGAGAGAGCGACGAAGGACCAATGCAGTACCGACGCCCCGAAACATGAACCACGGGCACCTCTGGCTCCTTATCGAACACAGGAGGGCCATCATACTCGCCTGACCCAGATTCCTCAATCAGCAAAGCCCGCGACCCTTTCGCCTTGGTGCATTGCGCTTGGCGATGTCCCGGTTCGCCGCAAGCAAAGCAGCGAAGCCTGCCCCCAGGCGAGGGGCCAACTTCACGCCCGTCCGAAGCCATGCCGACACCCGGTGGAAGAATCGCCGGAGTCGGTGCCGGAGCCGCGGCCCCATTCACCCCAT